GAGTTGGTTCATACTGATGTATGGGGGCCATCTCTAGTTCCATCTATTGCATGCTCACTATATTATGTCACATTCATCGATGATTCTACAAGGAATGTGTGGGTTTATTTTCTGAAGAAAAAATCAGAAGTCTTTGATACCTTCAGAAAATGGAAGGCCATGGTGAAAAATGAGACTGGTTTGAAAGTCAAGCGGTTGAGGTCTGATAATGAAGGAGAGTACAAAAATAGTAGATTCAGAGAATTTTGAGAAAATAATGGGATCAAGATGGAGACAACAGTTCCCATGACACCGCAATAGAATGGCGTAGCAGAGCGCATGAATAGAACTCTGAATGAACGTGCCAGAAGCATGAGGATACATGTCGGATTGCCCAAATTGTTATGGGCTGAAGCTATCAACACTACAACTTACATGATCAATTGTGGGCCCTCAGTTCCCTTGGATGGTGGAATACCAAAGGAAGTTTGGAGCAGATAAGAAATAAACCTTTCACATTTAAGAGTGTTTGGTTGTATTTCTTATGTACACATAAATTCTGCTGAAAGAAGTAAACTTAATGCTAAGTCCAACAAATGCGTCTTTGTTAGTTATGGTGATGATGAGTTTGGTTACCGTTTTTGGGACTATGAAAATAGAAAGATCATCATAAGCAGAGATGTCATTTTTCAATGAGAATGTGATGTACAAAGACATGTCAGCCATAGAATCAAGTAGCTCCAATACCAAAGCTGAAACAAAGGAATTTGCTGAGTTTAAGGAGATTTTTGGAAATGATGTTCAGATCAGTCCTAAAGCAGTTCAAGAAGAACCAGACACACCAGAACTGAGACACTCCTCTAGAATTCTTAAGCCAACCCATCATTATTTGCCTTATTTGCACTACTTGTTGTTGACTGACAATGGTGAACCAGAGTGCTATGATGAAACAATGCAGGTGGAGGATTCAGTCAAGTATGAGTCTTCCATGAAAGATGCGATGGACTCGCTTATGTCAACAATGATGGTGACTACAGACAAACTGAAGTTGTGTTCAGCTTCAGTTGGCATGCTAGAGTAACAAGACCAGAAATGATGTTGCATTGATCGAGGTATGAAGACATATTAAAATCAATCTTCAAGTGGGAGATTGTTGAAAAGTCAATAATTTACAGCTTTCAATGGTCATATTTTATTGCAGCCACTGTGAATTTGGTGGTTCAAAGTTGGCAACAAGTTGGTTGAAAATTGGCAGCTGAAATGATGGAAAATTGGTAAGGGAAAATTACCAAATTTAGTCCCTGTACTTTAGGGTATTTACAAAATTAGTCTTTAAGCTTCAATTATAAATACACTAACCCATTTAGCTTTAAAATCATCCCAAATCATTTCTTTCTCTCAATACTAAAGAGTTTAGAGAGTTTTCTTATGAGTGTTTTGTAAACACCTGTAAATTCTCTCTTTAGTAAAAGATTTGCAACAGTCTGGAGACGTAGACATAATTGGCCGAACTCTGTTATCAATTTTGGGTATTATTATTCCGCTTTTATTTCACATTCTCACTAATATGATTATAGGGAAATTACTCGTTTATTTCCCAACAGTATAAAATCGAAGAAAATGGATCAACAACAACATCTTTAGAAGAAATGGAATGAAAAGGAAAAAGATTTTCATGGAACACGATATTTCTGGATATTACAATGCTTCGAGTTTTTAAAACATAAATTTTATATCCTTTTATACCAGGAGAATAACCAATGAACACACCAGGAAGAAATAGATCAACAACAACATCTTTAGAAGAAATGGAATGAAAAGGAAAAATAATGTTGGTTATTATAAGTAGAATGTTTAAAAGGTCCCCAAACATCACAATGAACTAATTCAAAAGGATAAGAAGCTCTAGAACTTGACAAAGTAAAAGAAATGTGTAGTTGTTTTGTCAATGGACATGTTTGACAAGGATTGGAACGATGTTTATCAACAGACAAATATAAATCATTCCTTAACAAATGCAAAACATGTGAACTAGGGTGACCAAGACGGTCATGCCAAGAAACAAAAGCAAAATTTGTTCTATTAACAATGACTGTAGAAGATCGAGACGATATTGAAGATTGAAGCAAGAGAAATCCTTGACAGAGCTCACCCTTCCCAATCACTTGCCAAGGGCCCTGAATTAAACAATGATCGTTAGAAAACAACACACTGTTATTAGAATTTCTCAATAAACAACTTACAACAATAAGATTAAAGCTGAAGTCTGGAACAAATAAAACGTCCTTAAGAACCAATCGAGATGAAATTCTAATATCTTCAGAAAATTATACTGAAACAATAGTATTGTTAGGAAGCATAATGTTCCCACCATCAATAGGATATAAGGAATCAAAAAGATCTTTCGAATGACAGATATGTCTAGAAGCACTTGAATCGATAATCCAACAATTTTTATCACTGGTGGAACCAATACTATTAACATAAAAAAGAGACCTACCTTGTATTGCAAGATTTACAGTTGTAGAATGATGATTAGAGGAAGAAACAACCTGTAATTGACTAGTAAGCATAACTATTGAGTTGCTGACATTGATTAGCACTTAAGGAATCATTAGAAGAATTGCTCTGCTCTTGAGAAGAAACGTCAACATTAAAGTTTGCACGAGCCATATTATTTGAATTATTTTTATTTCTAGTCAGAAAACCAGGAGGATAGCCATGAAGTTTACAACATTTCTCCTTGATATGACCTAATAAACCACAGTGTCTGCATTGAGGACAATTCTTGCGATGATTTCTCAGAGTCTTAACAGCACAAACAGATTCAATAATAGGATTTTTCATCTTAATCACCCTTTGACTTTCTTCTTGAACAACTAAGGGAAAAAAACTTTAGTAATAGATGGCAAGGGATCCATTAACAAAATTTGTCCTCGAACATGAGCAAAAGATTCATTAATACCCATAAGAAACAACATAACTTGCTCTTTCTGTTGTTCTTCAACCATTTTGCGAATGCCATCACAATTACAACGAGAGAAAGTAATCGAAACTAATTCATCCCAAATGATCTTTAGTTGAGTATAGTAAGTACTTTCAGACACCATTATCGAATTGATGAAGATAATAGGGATTGGCGCCATTACCGAAGAAATCGTTTACATCACCCATACCAAAGAAGAAGAAGAAGAGATGAAAGCAACAAAGAAAAGAAAAACGAAGGAAGTTAACTAGTCAAGAAAAACATCAGATACCATGTAAAGATAGAAAAAATCTTAATTATATCTTCAAAACTAAAAAAAAATTACAAGAGAAGGAATTAATCCTTCTTTAAATAGCAGTACAAGCTGAAATTAACTAACATCAGCTACTAACATTAGTTATATAACAAAAAACTAACTTAAAAACTAACTTCTGTGACTTCCTCTATCCAACAATGTTTAAATATAGTTTTGGTCATCCTTTGTTAAAATCGTATAGAACTATTAATTATATATTTTTATTTTTTTAATGATTATATGGTATTATCTTATGATATTATAGTTAATTTTTAATAAGTTTTAATTAAAATAGACACAAACGTAAGTTATGATTTAAAAAATAATAATTGAATGATCAAAATAAAATTACATGTATTATTAGATCATTAAATACATATTTTATTTTATTTCTAATAAACATATTATGTGCTGGGACGCTTTAGTGTAAGGTCGTCATCATGTAATATCAACTTCTTTTAGCTAATTTTTTAATTAAAAATCGTTGTTTTTTAATGATAATTTCTCTTTGCAGACATTTCAAACAATTTAATTCAACGACTAATGAAATGCCATTTTCTTAACTATTTTATCTATTTTAAAATAAAAACTTAAGAATTTTCTATTGATAACTTATTTTTAGATCATCGACGTCTCTGAACTTTAAAAAAAATTAATGTAGCCTCTATTTTTTTTTATCAATGTGACCCCTATCATTTTTTCATCAATGTGATCATTTAATTCGAAAAAAGAATTTAATGTGACATTTTTACCAACGTTTTTTGTCGTTAACCAACAATTTCGATATTTTGTGCTGACGTGGCACGTCAAGCAGTCCAACTCTGTTTAATTTTTTTAAATTGGATAAATTAAATCATTCATCACTCAATTATTTTCTTTTTTTTTGTTTTGGTCACCAAACTTTAAAAATATTCAACCGGTATGTTCCCTTTGTGACCCATGACCCAGACTGAACATAGCGATCATCGACTGAAATTCGTCGGCGAGGTTATTATAATTTCATCGTTTTCATTGTTTTGATGTTGAAGAAGAACAACAACAAAAGAATGTACACCATTAAAGGAAATGGATAGATCAATGACAAGGTTTCAAGGATTTCTGGTCTGGTTTAGGGTGGAAAGGTGAGGTATTAGAGTCTAGAGATGTTCATGGTGACCAAAACAGAAAAGAGAAAATAATTGGTTTAATTTACCCAATTTAAATAACATTAATCAAAGGAGTTGGATTGCTTGACATGACACGTCAGCACAAAATAATGAAATCGTTGGTCAACGACGGAAAATGTTGGGTAAAGGGTCACATTGAGTTCTTTTTTCGAGTTGAAGTGTCACATTATAAAAAAATGATAGGATCACATTGATTTTTTTATTAAAGTTCAAGGGCTTCGGGTGTCTTTTGCCTTTTATATGTTATTCAAACATTGCTATTTTTAAATATTTAACTTTTCTTTTGAATTAATCATTAGAATATGATTTATTGATCGACTAATCTAGATTGAGTATTACAGAGACAAGAGCAACCATGTTAAATTAGTTTATTTCATTCACAAATACCAGAATTTGAACCTCTAACAATACTTAAAGGTATGACATCTAATCCCACTAGCCTAATTAATTATTGGTAAATATTTAACTTTCATCCCTCTAGTTTTTTTAACATCTATTTTATATAAATTAAATTCGACTTACTTAATTCAATAAATAGACTCCCAAACTAATTGATACTTTGGGCGGTCAAGCTTTATATATATATTAACGAAGATCGACATATTTTATGCTTTACCGGTGAGGGATTGTCGAAATTCCTTTCACCGGGAGCAACGACTTTCATAATGGCTAATCACTCCTCCGCTTACCCAATCATCGGCGCTTCTTTCAATCAAGACAACAGGTAAACTTTAACTTCATAATTCCTATTTTTTTTCTCGTTAATCATATATGGCTCAATTATATTTATCTGTTTTGGTTTCAATTTCGCAGTGGTTTTGCAATAAGCACTAAAGATTGTTTCAAAATAATCGATTCAAACACCGGAAGGCTCTGCTACGAACGAGGCAAGTTAATTCATCAAATTTCATTTTTATTATTGTTTTCTTTTTCCTATTACTGATTTCGACGAATTTGTTCGAAGCTTTAAATCAAATAATTGATTGATTGTTTTTCTTTCTACTTCAAATTGATTTATTCGCTAGCTGTTGGAACTTTCATTATTGTTGAGATGCTGTACAGTTCAAGTCTTCTCGCCATTGTTGGAGCTGGTGAACAGGTGCTTCACAAATTCTGTTTTTGTTAATAAATTTTTTGTGTTGATTTTTTACTACTATAATTTTAGCAAGCTACTTTGTAGATGACAATGAATTACTATTGTTGTAGCCATCTTTATCTCCACGCCGTCTTTGTTTGTTCAATACAACAACCGGTGCTCCTCTCCGAGAAATGACTTTCCTAACTTCAATTCTTTCCGTTCGCTTGAATAGGAAAAGGTAAAATGTGCCTTTGGTATAGAAGATAAACACTTTAAAGCTCCATAGTCCACTCATTTGGATATTGAATCTACAGTACACTAGTCCATTAGATATGATTATATCCCTTTTTTTAATGATGCTTAATTTGTGTAATTGCAGGCTTGTTGTGGTTTTACTAGAGAAAACCTACATATATGACACAAACAGTCTCTCAATGCTGGATACCATTGATACTGTGTCAAATTCGAAGGGTAAGTAGTATGTTTTTCTTCCATGTATAAGGTGGCTTTTGCTATCTCTCAAGTAGGACATGTTTAGTTACTCCAGTTTGCTTACTAACTTCAAAAACCGTTTGATCCTAGCATTTTTATGAGAGCTTACATGACATGAAGCAGTATTTCTAAGACTATATTATCTTGGATTCTCTTAAATGATTATGGCATGGCATTTGAAAATTCAAAGGATATGGAACTGAATAATACTTTGCTGTTAGAAAAGTATCTTCATATAGAGTTTTAATTTATAATACATTTTTACGGTTTTTGCTTATATTTAAGTTCCTTTTGAGAAATTGATATTCCACTTATTGGGTTAAACATGGAGTGCACAATGGAAAGGGGATAAATAAGATCCTTAGCTGGAGTTGTCTAGAAATTTGGTCTGAGAGAGGACTCCTTTGATCAATTTATAGGTTCATCCATCCAAGTTCCAAACTTTTTGTCGTTTTGTAGATGATTTGCACGATGTCAGACACACAAAAAGAAGTTAATTCCTCTCTTGCTTGAAATTCAGTTCTGCCTCAAGTTTTAGGAGGCTCTATTGTAGATGAGTATAGTTTGAAATAAAGATTATCTTGCAAACTGCCTTGGAATTCTTTTTACTGCTTTCTAAAGTGAGTTCACAGAACAATATTTATAACATATGGCAGAGGCCACTTTGATGTGAATGGATTTGTTAAACATGATTGCAAGTTGCAATTGTCATGCGGTGGTTTTTATTTATAATGCCACATATGGGCAGTTTGTATCATTGGTGCTTTATCTAAAGATCTTTGAGGGTTGTTAAATGTGTCTGATATATCTATGTTTTGCTTGGTAGGGAGAATGGAAAAGTTTGAATCCAATGGTGATGCTATATAAAGTGGGATGGAAGTTATGTAAGTTGTCATTGGGTTGAAAAGGTTTCCATCTTCCTTACCAAGCAAAACACTGTGTTCATAGTCAAAGAATAATTTCTTTCTTCTCCTTTTTAGCTGAACTCCGTTGGGTAGAGTTATGTTGGGGTCTGAATTGTTTCTTAATACAGTAACTTGTTGCAAGAGAGCGTGACTATTATATTCCACTCTGAGATATGCAAAAGTTGACTTGTAGCCAGGTTATTTTCAGTCCTTCAAAATCATTCACTTCTTATTTTTGGATATCCTTTCATTTAAGAACTCAAATCTCTTATGAATACAATGGACTAAGATAGAGGTAAGAAACGGATCATAGACTGTTCTCAAATAAAAGATAGAGAAACAGATTATGTGTTGGAGTTCCATATTTTTAATCATCAAGCTCTGTGAGTCATTGGGCTTTTGAAGAACAATGAGAGCATCTAATCTATGAAAAACTTATCTGGAGGGGTGATTTTTAATAGTTAACATGAGTTTGAAAATAGTACAGTTTTGGTATTTGGAAAGTGTCGAGTCATGTAAATACTCACTGAACAAATAACATTTTCTTTATTTGGTTTATGAAGAATTTTTTAAATAATTTTAATTTTCTGTTATTTTCTTTCGTTCAGGACTTTGTGCATTCTCCCCTAGTTTGGATGGTTGCTTCTTGGCTCTTCCTGCCAGCACGACTAAAGGAGCTGTATTAGTGTACAATGTCATGGAGCTTCAGTTGCATTGTGAGGTTGTGATAGAAACTTTCTCATTGTGTACTCTAGAAATTTGACCTACGATATAGAAAATAATCAAAATTTTGAAAGAGTAATTATGTTGGTTCAGATAAGTATATATATTCATAGGATAACATTCTGCTATATTTTCTTATCCCAAAACGTAGTGCATTTAATGTGGTATTGTTCTCGAGTTTTCTTTTTAATATAAAAGCACATTAGATTTAAACAATTGTATACCCACTACTGTTTAATCTAGTGGGTGAGTTTTTGAATTTGTTGTTATCTAAAGCAGCAGTTTTGGGGTTGTTTGAGGGTTTTCAAATAGGTTTTGATAATTCTTCGTCGATGTTGACTCATTTACAATTTGCGGATGACTTGATCATATTTTGTAAAGCTTCGAAGGGGCAATTAGCAAATCTGAAGAGGGTCCTGGTTGTATTTGAGTTGTGTACAGGGCTACAACTGAATTTGGTGAAGAGCAGAATTTTTGGTATTAACTTACAAGATCAGATTGTTGGGGAGTGGGCAGAATCTATTGGTTGCTTAAGAGACTCTTTTCCGACAGAATATTTGGGATTACCATTGGGAGCAAAGAGAAATTCTATTCAACTATGGGATCCGATTGTGAAGAAGTTATACCAGAAATTGGCAGGCTGGAAAGTATCTTCTCTATCCATGGCAGGGAGGACAGTTTTGATAAAATCAGTCCTGAATTCACTTCCTAATTATTATATGTCAATGTTCAAAATGCCAGTGGTTGTGAGGAAGAAACTAGAATCAATTATGGCCAACTTCTTGTGGGGTTCTTCGGCTGAGAAGAAAAGGTTTCATTGGGTTAATTGAAATGTTGTTTGTAAAAATAAAGAGTTGGGGGGTTTGGGAATTTCGGATCTTAAGCTTCGGAATAGAGCTTTAATGGGCAAATGGGTTTGGAAGTTTGGTTCGGAGAAGGACTCTTGGTTGAAGACAATGATATGTTCCAAGTATAATGTGGGAACGAGTTCTATTGTTTTAGATGATAATTTGCCATCTAATGTGTCTTGGATTTGGAAAGGTGTTGTAAATAACTATCGGACTAATGACTCATTTGGGTTATGCTTTCGGAATAATGTTGTGCTTCAGGTGGGAAAAGGAGATTCAATTAGATTTTGGCATGATTCATGGATTTCTAACTATTCCTTGAAGTCTATGTTTTCAAGGATTTTTGCACTGTCAGTTAATAAGGAAGGGGTTGTGGCTGATTTCGGGTGTATGTCTAATGAGGAGTGGGTGTGGGATTTACAACTTAGGAGGAACTTAATGGACAGTGAGTTTGATCAGTGGATGGAAATGATGGTTCTGTTGGATAATTTTAAACCTCTGTTGAAGGGTGAAGATCGCTTGGCGTGGAAAGGTAGTGGGGATGGTGTGTACTCAGTTCAATCTTGCTCTAGATTAGTTTCAAGTTTGTCAGAATCAGATAATTCATGGTTGGAGATAGTGTGGAAGGGTTTTGTCCCACCAAAAGTGGAGATTTTCATTTGGCAAATTATCCATCAGAAGTTCGTTGTTAAAACTGTCTTAATGAGAAGAGGAGTCAGAAATATTGAATCCCCTTTATGTGTGTTATGTGGAGTGGAACCAGAATCGGTTAGGCACTTATTCTTTTCTTGCGTCCAGGTTTGGCAGATTTGGGTCAAACTCCTCCGTATGTGGAAAGTTAATTCAGTTCTCCCTAATAATCCGAAAGGTTTCTTGCTTTCTTGGCCGCAATTAAGAGCAAATTCGTGTATTTGGAGATTTATTCCCGGAGCTGTTTTGTGGTCTGTCTGGCTGTGTAGGAACCAGATTGTATTTAAGAATGGCAAGTTGGATAGTGCTAATCTGTTTTTTTTGGGTGAGGTATAGGGTGATTTCATGGTTTTTAGCTAAAAACAAAGATGTGTCTATCCAAGTGGACAGCCTTGTGGGAGATCTTACTTTGGCGGATTTGCATAAGTCCCCCTCTAACTTTAGATCCTCAAGAGTAAAATGGTGCCCTCCTCCTACAGGTTATTTTAAGATGAATGTTGATGAGGATGTTAATTTTGATTGGAGATGAAGTGGTATTGGTGGAGTTCTTAAAGATACCGATAAGAACAGGTTGGTTTCTTTTTATAGAGCACTAGGACCTTGTTCTCCTATTCTTGCTGAGATATTTGCTATCAAAGTGGGGTTAGAAGTGTTTTTTGAGTCAGTTTGGACGGACAAAGGATTTCTGATTTTGGAAAGTGACTCGTTTCTTGTTGTGAAGTGGATCAACAACCCGAAACTTTGCCCGGTTCACCTTGTTGATCTGATTACAGAAATTCAGAAGACAGTTGTGCAGTCTAATGTTATAATTAAGCATATCAGCAGATGTACTAATGTGGAAGCTGATTGTCTAGCTAAGTCAAGAATTGGTTAGTGAGTGAGGAGGTTGTTCTTATGAGTAGTGGGTATGGTGTATTATTTTGGTTATGGTTCTATGTTAGGTAATTTTATGTATTGTTTGGAATCTTATGTAATTTTGGGTTATTAATAAATTTAGGCACTATTTTCCTCCTTCCGCTAGTTGTCTCTTTGCAAGAGGCAACTATGAGGGAGGTTTTTAATGAGGCCTTCTATTCCTATCAAAAAAAAAAAGCACATTAGATTTACTAGCTGTCATGTGCAAAGTGATTAAATTATGAAACCATTTCTTAAAGAAAAAAATAAAGCAGCCCATGTGAATATAAACTATGAGCAAGGGATGAATAGCTCAAGTTGGCATCTATTTTTAATAGTTGCCCTTCCCTTATAAGAGATTCTTTGTATATGCCTTCCTGTCACTTAGAATCAGTAATTTTTGGAGCTGAAAGTTTCTAGTTTGGATATTTCTACTGCTAACCTTCTTAATAACTATAGTTAGTTTTAGTTGTTATGCCAGCTAAGTAATTAGTTATAAAGATAGTTAATTAGTTTCAATTAATTTCTGATTCATGTACATATACCCTGATGTACGGAAATTATTCAATTTATAGGAATTCATCTTTTTCACCAATCTAATACTTCGTTTGAGTTGAGAATGACCATTTCTACTCGTATCAACATCTCTGCTCTTTAATATTGCATAGACAATTATATGATTGCCCTTGAATGGAAGAGATTTTTTTTTCCTTTGTGCTATTTAATCCTCTAGATCAGTCACTTTTTTATATTCTGCATTTATTGAATCAACTGTAGATAGATGCTCACCGGTCTCCTTTGGCTGCAATTGCTTTATCTAGCAGTGGAAAGTACATTGCAACAGCATCTGAACAGGGAACCATAATCAGAGTTCATCTGGTTTTAGAAGCAACTAAGGTACAAAAGAATTTGATGAGACTCATATGTGAAGTGTCTTTTGTACTAGATCATTTAGTAAATGGAGGCTGTTAGAGCTACAATTATTCCTTGTGACTTGAAAAAAAGAAAGTAGTCTTGAGATTACATGGCATCCTCATGCTGCTGAATTGCGAAGACAAACTTGCTAACGTAACCTTCAAGTCATTTTCAGTCAATTTGATAGACTTGGTTTATGAAGTGTGTCTTTGGTACTGGGAAACATAATAGTAAATGCAGGTTGTTATTACTACAATTATCCTTTTGGAGGCGAAAAATTAGAATGTAAACTAGACTTGTAATAAACTGAATTCCTTTTGTAGCATGCTATTAGTGTTTGTCCCCTTAAATTTTAACTTCATATATGAAATCTAACCATCCTTTACTTTCTCAGTCATACAGTTTTCGGAGGGGATCATACCCATCAACCATATTTTCATTGTCATTTTCTCCATCATTACAACTTCCAGATATTCTTGCAGCCACAAGCTCTTCAGGTTCTGTTCATATCTTCTCTCTGGGGTTTGAGACAAATCAGAGGTGAGGACTACAAATAAAATCTCTTTCTAGCGTGTAATGGAAAATATTCCTGACAATCAACATGCATATTACATGGTATTATAAAAGAATCTAAAAATTACAACATTCTTTTCACCTTTTATCATCATGGTGACTGGTTATCTTGCCATCTTATAAATTTTCTTTCCACATTACAAGCATAATATAAATTATATAATATTTATTTTTACTGTTCTCCGTTTGCCGTTTTTATCCCTTTTCTTTGACTTATAACATTCTGCATATATTGGACCTCCCGTGTCCTTAAGTTTTTGAGTGTCCCTTTCTATGTGAAAATGTTTATCTTCTTGGCTTTTCAGTTTCAATCCTTTTGTATTTCTCTCTCTTTATACGTAAGTTTAACTTTTAGTACAATTAATGTTGACAATCTAGATAGAGACCCTTTGCCCTTTGGAACTTTAATAGAACTATCATATACCTTCTATCAGGTACACTTCTGCATCTCAAAATAGAAACTAATAGGTTTGAAGGATTTTTGAACCATGTTTGACCACTTGAAGTTCGTATCTTCTTTTTGTGAATAATGTGTCCGTCTGCTCTTTTATATGGGAAGAGCTGTTTCTTCCTTCTTTTTCAATATTTCAGGAAAACTTTTAGTTTATTGATTATTTAGGAACCATAGGTGACATTTTACTTGGCAGGCTTGAAAAATTAATGGGAATCTATCATAGTTTAAATGAACCTGAGAAGAGACCATAGTAAATCCGTTGTCATCAGAAACCTTAAGGGTCATAAATATCCTCATAATTTTTCAAAGAAAAAGAAGTTATATATTGTGTAAGTTTTAAGTAGTCTTTGTGTCATTTCATATGTGTCTGCCAATAAATATATATGAATGATTTACTGAGTTATGTGACCTTTCTCAAATTTGTACTGCTAAGCAGGAGCAAAAAGTCGGGTAGTTTTCTTGGATCGATACTACCCGATTCCGTGAATGATGCGCTAGACCCAGCTCACCATCATGTGCTTCACAATGCTGTTTCTGCAGGAGTCAGAAGGTAAAGCACATTATACCTGATTTAAAGGATTTGTTAGCTCATTAGTACAATATGGAACAGCGATTCTGTGAATGATCCATAACATATTTGTGCTATAAAGTTGCATTTCTCTGGTGCAGCTATGCAGTGGTACGCAAGGTGGACAAAGTGGTTGATTCGTCCTCATCCGAGATTGCATTGTGTAGGTCAGTTCTCGGATGTGCGTGAAGTTCAAAATTGTATCGTCTGCTCATTTTCTTCTGCATTCATTTATGGTTTCCTTTCGTTATTCAATCATAAATTGAAATCAATGTACATGGTTTTCGGATTTACTCAGCCGTTTTCGCTTTTCATTTCTAGGGCCGTAATATCGTTGATAGCGTACAACGGGTACTTTCAGGAATATACCTTCACTCTCAACAGCCAGAACGAGTCTACATGGAGTCTGGAGCGCGAATTCAACCTTCTGGGAGTCAGTTCAGGTAATGCTGAAACCTCATGACACCTTTAATGGCCGAACCTCGTCGTAGTTAGACGGTGTGTGACAGTTGAACAATGAAAGGAAATGTAATGTACTCAGCTTGAAGTGTGTTTCATACAAGTTCTATAATTATAAACAAAATGGGTTCATATTTGATGTATCATTAGTGTAAGATTAGTAGTAATAAGTGAGAAGATTTTTATGAATAAAATATTTTTTCTTTACTTTAAAAAATTTAATAATTAAATTCATTTAATATAAAAATGTGTAAATTCTTAAATTTCATATCACCTCTACTCTTATGGTTATATATATATAATTGAAAGTGTCATCTAATTTTTTTTTATTTATCTTTTTTATATTGATTTCTTTATAAATTAATTGTAAGTCAATGATGATCAAGGATTACATGGTCCAATAAAAGAGTGACACATAATAATGTTTATATAGTTTGTGTTGTCTATTGAATTCTAATATGTAAAAAGTTATATTTTAATAAAGATAATATTTTGAGAAATTTGAGAGAAAAAATTCAAATATGATTTTTAATAAAAAATAAATTATCAAGATGAAAATAAAATGATTTAAGTGGATAGATAAGTTCACGTTAATTACTAAGATGTTTCACTTCTTTAGGTTATGTTTAATGTAGCTATGGATTTAGGAGTAGTTTTAAAGGTTGATATATTGCTGAATGTATGCTCATTTTCAACTCCTCGAGTAATTAGTTTTAGGGTAAACTATATATTTAATACTTAAATTATCAGTTTTGATCCGTTTTAGTATTTTAACTTTTAAAATTTTCAAAATCATATCTAACGTTTATCTTTTATTTCATTTTAGTATTACGTTATTAAAAACTTAACGCTTTTAATATCTAAATTATCAGTTTTAATCTCACCTTCACAGTACTCCCACCCCTGTTCCTAACCCCAACACCATCGTTTCCAAACAATAGCACTGAAAAGAAGAAAGAAAGAGATGAGATTAACTCACAAAATGTTATCGTCGAACATCAAAGGGGTAACCAATGGTTTCCCTCTGAGGATCCAATTGGAGAAAGTGGTGGAGAAGGAAGTCGAAATCAATCACGATTTCCTCAGGAACATATTTCCAAAGATCAATCCGATGCTTCGAGAATCAGGGGGTATCATGAGCTCCCGGAGGAGTCGCCGGAGCTATCAGTGTTGGAGTCGGACATCTAGTTTTTGAGTAAGTTTCATCATGTCCTCTTAGAGCTCCATCTCGAGGAAGGTGCGCTTCTTTGCCCCAAGACCGGTTGGAAGTTTCCGGTTAATAAGGGAATTCCGAATATGCTTTTACTTGAGGATGAGGTTTGAGAAAATGGTTTGATGTTTGATACGGTTGGGTTTTGGGGATTATGAGTTGTAATTAGGGTTTCACCTCTCCCATTTTGTGCTTGAATTTTTGAGTCATTGTATGGAATCTGTTGTCTTAACAAATGAAAACAGCGCGAGTTAATTTGGCAAATTGAAGATCTGAAAACAAACAACTGTATTTCCTTTGAAAAAAAAAATACCATTGTTAAGCTACAAGTTGAGTAAGCGTTTGCATTTTTCATTCATTCTCTTCTTTGTCGGTTTTTCTTAACCTTTGTTTGTTTACTTGGAAAATCTCGTAGAAAGTTTCGATTTTTATTGCTTTTGATATTTCAAATCTGTATACTTTGAAGCTAGTTTCTGGGAAATTATATCTTTTGTTAACCTCCAAGTTGTATTTTTTGGGTGAAAATGCAACCTTTTTTAATCAATCTTTGCCTTATCATTGAAGATTTTGAGCTTCAAACCGTGGGCTTAGAGAAAGGAAAAAGAGGTGTTGGAAATGGAAACAGAGGTTTGTTGGGGGTTAGGGAAAGGGGTGGTGTTACGATGAATGTGAGGTTGGGGAAGAGAGAAGCGGGACAATTTTGACGGAGATGAAGATGGGGGTATTTTTGGTATGTTATATATTTTATTTTATTTTTTATTTTTTTATTTAGATAAAGAAAATAAAAATTATGATGTGATGTGGCGTGTTCTGATTCGTCTGTGAATTTTATTTTTAACTATATTAACGATTTGGGATAAACTGGCAACGTTTTTTAGTTGATGGGTAAAACGTCTCAAAAATATTTTGGAAGGACCAACTCAGTAAAAAGAATATAGTTCAGGGGGAAAATATATATTTAAGGTTAAATTAAAGTAAATTTAATTATAAGAGGGTGATTGTCCTAAGCTTTCTGTTCATGATCCAGGACAAAAGTAAGATTTAAAATTTTAGAAGTCAAAATATAATTACAAAGAAAATATCTATGTTGAGTAAGAATCATGGTTTTTAAAATCGGATCGGTTAGTGAATCGGTCATGCTATCGGTTCATTAATTTAATCGGTCGAATCGGTCTGACCGGTCGGAAGAACCGGACGATGTCATAATTATTTAAAAAATTAAATAAAAATACCAAAAATATTTAATAAAAAATATTTTTTTATATCACAAGTCATATTCAAAGCAAGTCATAACATATATAAGTTAAAAATCATAAAATCAAGTGAAACAAAATGATTCAAATTAACTACAACATAATATTTAATGTAAAACATATTAAATAATAAATATAATTATATAACTATAATTAAAAAATAAACTTGGGGTTAAAAAATCATAATAAAATGATATTTGTTTGGTTTAATTTTTTTTTTTTAAAAACAATCTCACATGGCTAAGAAACATAGAAGAGCATTCCAAAAGTCTAAAGAGTAAAAATATGAGAACAAAACAATCCCACATGGCTAAGAAACATAGAAGAGCATCACAACTCACTTCTATAAATAATAGAGGTAATTTGACATTTAAAATTATGGAGCCTTTTGGTGAGCATTGAGTGAACTATTCTTTCACTTCAATTAAGCTCGAATTTTAAGCTTCAATCGAGCTTCTAAATTTTTTTTAGTTCAAGCCTTTTTGAGTTCAAGTTTCAATATTATATTCCGAGTTTGAGTTGAACTTGATAATTTTTAGCTTGTGAGTTTGAGTCGAGTTGAGCTTACTTTTAAAGTTTTCAAGTTTGAGTAGAGCTCAGCAATACTCGAGTTCGACTTGGCTCGTTTAACAAACGATGTTGTTTGGATTTTTGGTTTTTTTCGGTTTTCAACTGGTTCGATTCAAACAGTTTAGCGGTTCTAACCGGTTTAGATTGAACTGGACTAGCACACGGTTTCCGGTTAAACTAGTTGAACCGGCCGGTCCTGTCCGATTTTCAAAACAACTAAGAACTTAAAATTGTCAAAAGAACGACCGCCACACGTCAGTCTCTCGATCCAGATCCGTCATGGTAGAAATAGGAAACAGGGTTCGGGTCATGTTTGGCATGTTCAGAGGTACAGGCAGCGCTGGCTGGCAAGGACCGAGCAAAGAGAAGACAAAAAGTGGGGGAGAACTGACAGGTAAAGATTAGGATCGGAAGAACCAAACCCCTTTGGTTTACTATTCAAAAGACTGTAGCACAAGGCTAAAGGCTGCCACCGGCTGAGGTCCAGTCTCCGGTCTTGTTCCATTTTCGGTTTTGTTTTTATGCTGTGGGCACCAGGGAATGGGGGTGAAACTCATATATAATGTTTACGTACAAGGAATCTGGGTTTTCTTGCATGGACAAATTAATGAGTTGATAATAATTTACGTGAACGAAGCAATGTTTTGTTTGCGACACAAAATATACGTGAGGAAAACCATCATGTATTTACAAATTTTCACTGCCCAGGCAAACCAATTTTGATTGTCATTATGCGACGATTATAGTTGAGTTTTTGGACTCGATATCCCAATTACGATTACGGATGATGACGGGTCGGGTTGAGTCAATTTTTTTTGGTCAAGCCGATTCTGTTCAGGAAATATATTCATTTCTCTCGAATACGACAAGGCCCGTGACATATATCTCCTACACTCGTTCCGACCCAAGATGTTAATTTTCTCCCCTCGAACTCGACTAGACGACATAAATATATAAAAATCATTTTATTCTATAAAATATGGGTCTAATTAAAAAATTATAAGAAGAGAGGTATTATAATAATTATCCTTAAATTTATAATAATAACTTTTTATTCTTTTTGAACTCCACGTGAACTTGGTTTGAAATTTGTGAATATTATAATTTGTATAAAGAAATATAAACTTTTGATAAAAATAAGGGTTATATAAATGGTACTCTGACTATAAAATATTATTTTATTAAGTCCTTCGACTATTGAAAATTATAAAAATAGTTATTCGACTATAGAGTGTTGCTTTGTTGAGTCCCTTGACCAGGGGCAGATCTTAGTGAGGGCCCAAGGAGGCCTTTGTTGAAAATATTTTGATATTTCGATATAACAAATTAAGTTAAATGAATTTTAAGATTTTCCAAATGATTTTCTAAGTATATTCGATAGAATTATTCGAATATCAAAACATTACTCCAAATCTTTCAAAGATCATTTTTATTCCTTACTCAAAGTGTAAAATTAAGTTTTAATCTTAAAACAATTTCAAAATAATTTTATAAAGTATTTCGAACCATTTCAAAGCCAAAAATTCCAGATTGCTCAGAGGGAACCGATTCCCCCCCAAGGGGGTACCGATTCCCCCTTGAATGGTTTGGCTCCGAGAATTCCAGTATGCTCGGAGGGAACCGATTCCCCCCCAGGGGTACTGATTCCCCCCTTGTATAACGGTCGAAATATTTGAATTTTACACTTAGGGAACCGATTCCCCCACGCTCCAAACTGTTTTATTAATTGTTTTCACACTAAAACGGCTATATTATTTTCTCTAATTATCCCCAACGTTCAGAAGTGATTCAAGGTGTATTTAAGCAAGCTTAGAAGCCATTGATCAACAACAAGAAACATCAAGCAATTAGAATCAAGAGAGAATCAAAGAGAAAGCATCAAACCTCAAGTTTGAGCATTTCAAGCCTATTTTTCATTCAATATTCATTTTGCTTTCAAGAACACTTATTGTGCTCAATTGTATTTATTCTTGAGTGTTCTTTCTTTGTTCTAGAATTGTGCAAACATATTTGCCTTGTGAGGTTTTTCTTGTAAATTTGCAAATTTGTATTTCTCTTTGAGAAAAGAGTGTTCTCAAGAATTGGTGTATATTCTTTGAGGGTGTTGTAAGGTTATCTCTTTAGCCTCAAAAGAAAGAACAAATTAGTGAATTTGTTGGAAAATCCTTAGTGTG